GCTTGTAAACGAAAGACGGTTCATTTAACTCGTAGCTTCCGACTTATTACCGAAATAACTCATTCTGAGTAAAGCGGCTGATTGGCTCACATATTTACATTCAAAATAGATCATGGAGGGCGTAAGAATGGTGTAGGCTAAGGAGTATAATACGGTCAAATCTCAACGGATAACACAGAGGTAATTTTTTGGACGATATTTGTATGCATGTTGGCAACCAACTCTTGACCACTGCAACCAAAGAGCAGGTAGCTTATCTGATATTACACGTCATAAAAGGTACCAATATATTCCAAATCAAGTATAACCGTCTCCTTATTTTGTGGAAAATTCTGGTCATCATGATAGACTCCCTACTCGTCAAGGTACTACTGTGTGTGAAGAATTTCACCATGTATTCCATTGCTTAAAGCCTCCGAAACTGTGCTTGCACATATTGTTAGTTACTGGTCAATGATGACTGAACCCGACTGCAAGTCTGGCAGCTATGTACGAAACGGAAGTACTTTTGTACTTTTTATACTTTTTGGTCTTCACTAGTACAGTCAGAGGTTCACGTACAGTCAGAGGTTTGTTGAGCTCGTAGTGCTTTCATGCTCCAGTTTAAACGGAGGGTTGTCATCAATGGAGTTGTCCTGTAGACAATCCTTAACCCTTCAGGTGTAGACGGTAAAACGGCTAATCCCACGATGCAGCAACACTCCATACGCAATTCGGATATAGCTGGCAGAATTTTGTTGTTTTCAGGTCACCTATTGGTTGCTTGACCAGCAACTAAGGTTAAAATCTTCATTAGGAAGCTTAAATCCATGATGTCAGGGGTCAAAAAGTTACGCATAAGTTACCTTGAATTGCTGTTTAATTTAGAGATTGATTTTCATGACATCCGAGATTGCGATCCATTGATGAGCTCCAAGCAGGTCGAAACTGACCGTGGACTGTCTGCAGACTGCATTACATGTCCTAATTCGGTAACCTTATGGCAACTTTGCAGCAAATCCTGCACGCCATAAATATCGCTGGAAAGAATATTTTGAAAATATCGAGCGTGTGGAAGCACCATTAAGAAGAAAACCTGAATACGGCCTAATTATGTAAAAGCAGTGTTTCAGACATTCAATCAGATAAAATATGGGTTTCGAGTTTGTCCCCTCCTGTCGAGGATACATCATTGGCGGGCCACGCATCTGGATGAGCGTGCCCCATAAACCTCACTGTTCGAGCCACTCTGAATTTATGCGAGTTCAAAGAAATTGGAAACACTTTCACGTGATAGGTGTGGCCAAGTTGTATGAAAATCATCATCAAACATTCGATAAGCATTGACGACCAAGTCAACATTTCGAAAACTTCTGACATAACCGATGGGACATGCTGAATGCGCTGAAACCGATCTTAGTCAGACTACTGAATTTAACTGGGTGATCGCAAAGGCGGTTAATCAACTCAGTCTCACTGATCTGGTTATCCGTTAAACAGCCAAAAACAAGCTGCACTGCGACCGCATGACCAGAGCGGCCGATCAAGCTGTCATGTCTTTAAATCCGTTTTTCTACACTCTGTTGCTGTTAGTTACAGCAGTGAGACGACTTCAAACTACACAGAATGATACATACTCGCTGAATAAAGTAAGTATTCTTACATAACAATATATATGCAGTATCACTTGGGCGGTTGAACGAGCCTTTTGTCACTTTCACCAATAAAATAACATCACATCATTTGAGAAATGCTCAGTTAAGCAGATAATGTTTGACCTGAGTGGCAGCCGTTGTGCCAAGTTACTCTTGTTTAAAAAGTATAACACAAGGCATCAACACCAACTTGTTTTCAAAGGTGAATCATTGATCACGTTTTGTGAGAATCATACCAGGACGTAGACAGGTGGATCCTGTCGGCTGCAAGCAAATGACGATCAGTTGGTGTCGTTGGCGCCCATGCTGTCAGTTTTTTTACAAATCATCTAGTTGATGGTTTGGAGGTGTGGGCACCTCAGAAAGTCTGTAGTAGGCTAAACTTGGGTCCCTCCCTCTACCAGATTTCTTTCTTATCTTCTCTGTGTTAATTTTTTAAAGACCTGTAATTTAGCAGCAGTGAATCATCAGTGTTAACACTGATGTGGATGGCTGTGACGCGGCTAATTCATAATATCGAGAAATAAAGAAGGAAGAAACGACGGCACTGTCAGAAATAAATCAAATCAAACTCTAAAGGTGCTTGTGACACCCAAACATTGGGTTAGGTTAGCAACGTGCTGAGCAGAGCTATATTCACTCGCCTAATAACTATCACTGAATAAGGGACCGATTGGATGGATAAATGCTGGCTGCAGTCTCAGAAGCGTCAAGATCAGGCAGCTGTGTTGTACAAAGAATTAAAAACCAACCGCCACTCCGCTAAAATTTTGAGTCCAGTATTTGATAAAACCCTCAAGTTCACTTGGTACTCTATACTGATAAGCTTCCACCACCTTCATTACTGGACATAAATATCATCGTCGTTTATTGCGGTTCAACTCGGTTGCTCGGAATGACTAGTATACTCATCATTTTATCAGCATGCTGCACCCAGTTATCTACTGCTAAATTGGTTACCTACCACATTGAATCATTTGTACTTCAGGAAAAACACCTGAATTTTGTATTGGACTTCATGATTCTCTTGTGGTGTTTTGTATCTTCCTTGTGCTTCCATTATAACATTACGTATTTTATCGGTTGCACTACCGTTTTTTGTTTGAATACGAAAGCTACAAAAACGCGCAGGAGCAAACGTGGTCACTTTCTTCGAGTCTTCTGATTTCGCTCGTATTCCACAGCGGTCATTCGCGGGTTTCTTGTGCTAAATCTCGTGTCACAACATTTCAGACTATCTTCGGAACCTATGAGTGAGAACTGTTCAGAAGACCCCTGGACAACCATGATTGGATTATTGTTTATTCGCTGACCTGGACCAACGAGGAACTAGTTGAAAGCGAACAATTCTTAACGAGTCTGTTTCATCTGACTTCTTTATTATTGTGCACTCAAACTAGCATTATTGTTTTTATTTCTTTGCCACACAATCCCCATAAACTAGTTTTTCGGGTAGCCGGACCACTACAAACTTGGTGAGCCGGAGTCTTTCTAGATGTCTTTTAACTTTTCCTTTCAAGTCATCGTAATCTTTCCTTTTGCCCGGTCAGTATGGACTCAAACTCCGATTCATCGGATTTAGTCTTGGTTGTGCTCACCCTCACGGTTAAATCAGACAGTCACCTTAAAAGGTCCAAAATCTTACATACAGTTTGTTTAACTAAACCTCACGAAGTTCACCAGAGCTTCCCTTCAGTCATTGGATTTTTTTTTGAAGTTGCTTCCGTTGTTGTCCAAAATTCAGTTTGTTCCATAAAAGGGGGTGTTCTTGGTTAGGGTAAATTCAATCGAATTAGGATTTACTGGCAACTACATTCAGTGATGCAGTTTGACGTTCTATTCAACTATCATGACAACTAGCCAACCCTCTGAGACGTGTTGAATCGGGCGTGACCGTTTGTTGCTGGATATTGGATACTCTTGTTTTCTTTAACGAAAGGAGATAACTACAAAAAAATTGTCATTTCTCAGGCACTTTTCTTGACTTGTTAGCGTTGACTTGGTTGAGCCAGTCAGTTTTGGATGGAATAACCCCTTATTTTCCCTAAGCTGCCCTCTAACACGGACGCTCTCTCAACCAGCAGATTATGTCTACATGAATGATAATAATGATCGTTCAGGTGTTACTCTTTCCGTTTCTAGCTTTCATACTCCCCAAAGTAGGCGATAAGACTGAAATAATGCCAGGTTGCCCATCCTTGAACAGCAGCAGTCGAGGTGCTAACGTAGGGTTCGGACCAAGAACCTTCGGTCAATAGTTTCACTCCTTAAGCACCGAGCTATCTGGAGACCAAGAGTTACTCCTAACAATCAGGGGCTGTACAAGATTGGTGGGCAATGGATTTATCCCTAAAGTATTTTCTCGAGGAGTTCCGGAGGAACCTTCCAGCGTTTTAACAGGCCGCAGACCTCGATATAGGGATTTCGAGTGGTAAGGGTGAGCTAGTACTGCCTAGGAGCTTAAACTTAGGCGGGCTCACCGTCCGAATCTTTCTAATATGCTGAGCGTTTCGTTCGAATTTGGCCATTATGGTAAACAGTTGGTCTGTGCTTCCCACAAATTGCAAAATTTTCTGTGCCGTTCGCGTTTCGACTGGTGTGCTGGTACTAACACAACCTTCAAAGGACCCAGGTCACGAAGTCTACATCGGATAATGCTCACTGTTTATGACACCGTCCCTTTTTCGCGCAACTACCTGTACCCACCAATCCTGCTAGTCCTGCTTTAATTCTAACTGCAGCATTTTGATCATGCCCGGCGATATACTACCTGCAAGTTAGAAATATATTATTATTATTATTATTATTATTATTATTATTATCAAGGGTAAATACTGGAGGGTGACGGTTGCGGTTCAAAAGTGGTCTGTCGAATGTTGTATGTGTCATCCCTCGTTTTGAAGCACTTGAAGTNCCTGCAAGTTAGAAATATATTATTATTATTATTATTATTATTATTATTATTATTATTATTATTATCAAGGGTAAATACTGGAGGGTGACGGTTGCGTTTCAAAAGTGGTCTGTCGAATGTTGTATGTGTCATCCCTCGTTTTGAAGCACTTGAAGTTGCGATCTCAAACTGTGCGCCACTGTCATGTCGCAACTACCAAGGTGTGGTGAATCTCATAGTTTATTATGCAGGCGCCAAAGTTTGCCGAACGGTTCACACCTGCGCTGGTGAGTGCACATGTCCCTCCTTTCGACATAGTGGCTTCCGTGTGTCATCTGTTATCCGTATTCGGGGACGAGCCCGTTCCAAGCAATAAGAAATATCATTCATAGATATTTTCTTAGGTCGCTTCCCCATCCAACAACTGTGGTTTTCTGAGTACAACAAACCGGAGAGAGCGAAAACCCACAAACCTGTTCCAAAACCACGATTACCGACGTTTCCATCGCCCGCATAAACAGCTTAACCGTGTGATTGATAAACTTCAGGCGCTGGAAACCAAGAAGGCAACAACCTTAATTAAGCAGTAATTTGTTCCGGGGCGATCCTCCTGCACTGAGACTCAACATCTGTCACGAGTGGCCTGTCGTTAACGGTCAAGGACGGCCTGGCTCAACCCTGATGGCTCTTTAGGGAAACATACTTTGGTTTTGGTGCTTTGGGACCGCCGCAGTACAACGAATTTGGTGAGCCCGAGTATTTCTAGATATTTTTTGAAAGCTTTTCCTTTCAAGTCGTCGTAATTTTGCTTATTTTGCCCGGTACTTATGGAGGCACACTTTGATTCAGCGGATTTGGTGGAAAATGCGATTAGCATACGTTTAAGAGACTACAATCCACGCAACCCCAGGGTATGGTTTCACCGGGTAGAGGCCGTTTTCACTACACAACGCGTCACTTCCCAAGCCACGCGATTGTTCTGTGTTGTCCAGCATCTTCCTTGTGATGTAGCAACAGAATTGGAAGATCTGTTGAAAGATATTCCCAGGGAAGATCCGTATGACGTCCTTCGAGCGGCCGTCATAAGTAGGACAGGGAAATCAGAAAACAAAATGCTACGGGGTTCATTCACCACTGTCAAACTTGGTGACAGATCGCCATCACAACCGCTTCGCCACATGTGCAGTCTCCTCTGTGGCCGTAAGCTAGTGGTGGAAATAATGGCCCAACTATGGCTCGACAAACTTCCACCCTCCATGTCTCACATCATCAGTGCTTTCGCTGATGACCACAGCTTGGAGCAGTTAGCCCAAATGGCGGAGAACATCCACGAAACTTACCCCAGTAAGCCCGTAAACTCCCTTTCCCATCATTCACCCACTACTTCTACGGATCCCGAACCGATTCTTGCTTCTTTATCGCACCTACAAGCCAAGTTTGATGCTTTGACCAATCACCTACAACGGTTACAGATCAACAAGCACCGACCACGTTCACGATACAAGCCAAGATGCTTTGACCAATCACCTACAACGGTTACAGATCAACAAGCACCGACCACGTTCACGATCCAGATCGTTGTCTCGTGCCTGCCCCTCTTGGTGCTTGTACCACCAATCTTATGGCCCAAAAGCACGCAAGTGTCAACCACCTTGTTCTTTCAAGCCGCGTTCCAACACCCCTTTAA